GGATAGCAAGGATTAGTCTTGAAATCAATAGACTGCTACTATTCTATACCTAACTGACCTTTTCCCTTTACAATTCTAATCCTTCCTCTTCAGTTACCTATAGAATACAGCATGTCACCGCAATCCTTATGTTCCGATAGCGGTTCCGAGTCGGAAACTTCCCCTACCGCTGATGGTTCATCACCTTCGCTACCAGATCCTTCGGTAGAGGACCTTACCGCAGTCAGAGATACTATTAGTCGGCTACAAGATTACCAGCGGTTGAAAAGACAAGTTGCCGAACTGCGACGGGAAATCCAACGTGACGATGTCGAATTGGCACCGACTCGGCAAAGGAAAACTTCCTCTCCTTTAAGTGAATCTAAAATGAACATCAAAATCAAAGATATTCCGCAATTCGAACTTTCCTTCAATATTCAAAAACGCCAGGAATGGTTCTACGATTTAGATCATAATTTTCAGGGGGCACCATCTAAGTTCTGCAATGACTACCGCAAGATTCTCGAGGCTGTAAGCCACATGAGCGCGACTTGTCGGCAGAGATGGTACCGTTATCTTGAAGAATTACCACCAGAACGAAAGGAAAACGTTAGCCATTCGTGGTCTGCCTTTACTAAATGGACACTCTCCCTCATCCGAAATGCTGCCACCTTTGAGCCTGATGTGATGAGCCAGCTAGAGCGAGCTCGGCAGCGAAACGATCAAGATCCTCGTGAATTTCACGCCTATCTCGATACTTTGGAACAATATTTTCCTAGAGCTACTGAAAAGGAACGCAGCTATACTTTCTTTGCAAAATTACTTCCTGATTTCAGTCGCTATGTCAAAGAACACGTATACCAACTGCCTGAGGAACGAGACGAGATGGTATCTCTTACCACTCATTATTGGAACCTATATACACAGGGACAAAAACGTAAACGGGGACCTGACGGGTCCAACACGTCACAAAAACGGTCACGATTCTATAAGGACACTCAACCTTTTAATCCTAAAACTGATCATTCTGATCCAGTCAGAAAAGTTTTACGATGCTTCTTATGTAATAGTGCTGAGCATCTCGCCAACCGATGTCCTCAAAAGGAAAAGAGATCAGCTCGAATTCAAGAACTGCAAGCTAGGAAAAGCAATGCGGAAAAATAGAGTGGGCTGAGACCAACTCCCCTGTCTCGGCCCCGTATCATGAAGTGGGAACAGCCGATAAGATGTCGATGCCAATACGAATACCCAACGTTGGGGAAATCTATGCAGACATCGATAGTTGTGCGGCGTGCGACCTGGTCAGCATTGGATTTATACAGCAATACTCCTTTTCAAAATCCCGGAAATTCTCACCACGGCTCGAAGCCATTAACCATACCTCTGTCATCAGCTATGGGGTATGGGATATTCCTTTAGACATCACTGATTCAAGAGGAGTACGACGGTGTTTCACCAGACCATGTGTTGCTACTACTCAAGACGCCCCAATCTTGCTTTCCATGACTACTCTGCTCGACCACAAAATTCATTTGTCTCCCTGGAACAAGCAATGGTGGTTTGAATTTAGTCAAATCCAGGAATTAAGTCCTCGGAAATTCACTAAGGCTTGCCGAAATTGCGCCTGTGTTTATGCGATTGTTAAAGCCCCAGAGGAACTGTGGCTTCCAGGTGACGACGAGGGATCAGAACGCCATCAAAACAATTCCATTCCGCCAGAACTGGTCGAATTTGCCGATGTCTTCTCTTCTGATCAATCTAAAATTCTTCCTAAACACCATGATAAGGATCATACTATCGACCTTCTCGAAGGCGAATCACCCCCGTTTGGGCCCATTTACCCCCTCTCGGAAAGAGAACTTTCAGTACTCAAAGATTATATTGACGAAAACACTGCCAATGGAAGAATACGCCCATCTAAAAGCCCTGCAGGGGCCCCTATTCTCTTCGTACCTAAAAAGGATGGAAGTTTGCGGCTATGCGTGGATTACCGTGGACTTAATAAAGTTACGGTAAAGAATCGATATCCACTGCCCTTAATCTCCGAAATCCTCGACCGATTAGCTGGATGCAAATACTTCAGTAAAATCGACGTCCAGGACGCCTATTATCGCATCCGCATTAAGGAAGGAGACGAATGGAAGACTGCGTTTCGCACACGTTATGGTCACTTTGAGTACATGGTAATGCCGTTTGGCTTGACCAACGCACCTGCTTCTTTTCAAAACTACATACACTCCGCATTGCATGATATTCTCGATGTCGTTTGCATTGCGTATCTAGACGATATCCTTATCTTCTCGATGACAAGGCATGAACACGTCGAACATATCAAGAAAGTACTGGTACGACTACGAGAAGCCAATCTATATGCCAAACTATCCAAATGCTCCTTCCTTCAGCAACAAGTTGAATTCCTTGGATATATCATTTCCTCTACAGGCATTACGATGGATCCTGACCGAGTTAAAACTATCGTTTCGTGGCCGTTACCTGCTACCTACCATGATATTCAGATCTTCTTAGGATTTTGCAACTTCTACCGCAGATTTATTCGCAACTTCTCTTTACTAGCACTACCTTTGACGAACCTTCTGAAGGGAAGTCAAAATGGCAAGAAACCGGGAACACATCATTTAGCCCTAGACGAAAGACTGGCGTTTCGCCGACTTATCAACGCATTCCAGACTGCTCCTCTTCTTCGTTTCTTTGATCCAACTCAACCTATTCGGATCGAAACCGACGCCTGTAATAAAGGAATGGCAGGCATTTTGACCCAACCGGGACCAACAGGACAATACCACATAGTTGCTATTTGGTCAAGAAAATTCTCGGGTGCAGAACTTAACTGGGGCACTCCGGATCAAGAACTTTTCGCCATCGTCTACTCCTTTAAACATTGGCATCAATATCTCGATGGGGCTCAGCATCCTATTGAAGTTCTATCTGACCATGCAAATCTTAGATCATTTATGAATCAATCCCGGCTTAATGGACGTCAAGCACGTTGGTGCATGATTTTGGCTCCTTTTGACTTTATGATCAAACACCGATCAGGTAAGAGCAATCCTGCTGACATCCCATCTAGACTATTCGAGCCAGTGAAGAGCTCTTGTAACAATGATGTTACGCGGGTGCTCCGTGACCGGTTAGCACCCATCTCAGCAGTGTCTGAGGTCTCGGCAGTGACTGAGATTGGGAAATCCCAGTTTGGGTATGGCGAGACGCCTTTACAGGAGAGACCTGGACCCAGTACCCACATGGTGTTGAGCAGGCCTACGGGCGCTGCCGGTACAGAATCGGCTGACTGGGCCGTGGTTTGTGCAACAAACCGTGAACGATCCGCCAGCGTTGCGGCTACAAAAAGTGCAAGCAAAGCCGAAAAGGTTTATGAATCTGTTTGCAATGATGATCTAAGAAATTTGATCAAAACTCTTCAGAATCAAGATTCTGAATCCCAGAAAAAGAAAAATGAACCACCCAAACATTGGGGAATTACAACGGATGGATTGTTGCATTTTAAAAATAGACTCTATGTACCAGAGGCAAAAGGCCTACGTCAAGAGCTACTGCAGCAATACCATGATGATCCGTTAGCAGGTCACTTTGGACAAAATAGGACTGAACAACTCCTCCGCAGGAAGTTCCATTGGATTGGCCTCCAAAATGATGTGGAAAACTATGTGGCAACATGCCCTACCTGCCAATACCAAACCCCAGCTAGGCATCGACCATATGGAGAACTCGAAAGCCTACCGATTCCATCGAGACCATGGGCCGAAATTACCATGGATTTCATCACAGGACTACCCGAACTATACCACCAGGGTCATTGGGTAGATTCGATATTGGTGATTGTCGATCGTTTTACAAAAATGAACCGTTTCATAGCGGTATCATGCACGATTCGAGCAGGAGAACTGGCCGAACTGTTTCATCGAGAAATCGAACTGAAATATGGAGCCCCCCATGGCATAGTCACAGACAGAGGCTCTGTATTCACGAGTAAATTTTGGTCCGATCTTTGCTACCAAACTAAGATCAAAAGACGGTTGTCGACCGCGTTTCACCCGCAAACCGACGGCCAAACGGAAAGGGCTAACCAAGTCCTCGAACGCTACCTGCGCTGCTTTGTGACCGAGTGTCAAGACCACTATTGAATTTACTAAACGAGGCAGAATTTGCATGCAATAGTCATCCGAATGCCTCTACAAAAATGATTCCTTTCGAAGCCCTAATGGGTTACTCTCCTGAGTTTAGACTCCGGATCGAGGACGACCCTACAAAAGTGGGGGTGCCGTCAATATCAGAAAGACTAGAAAAGCTGAACACTTTGCGAGAAAAACTAAAAAGAAACTGGCGAAAGGCAAGCGAAAACCAATCGACTTACTACAATAGTCGTCACGGTACTCTATCTTTCAAGCGAGATAATGAGACGACCCATACTTTCAAACGAGGAGATTTGGTCAAGCTATCTACTGCAAACATTAAATTCAAGGGAACCCCTCGAAAATTAGTCCCAAAATTCGTGGGGCCCTTCAGAATTCTAGAAGCTGTGGGAAAACAAGCGTTTCGCCTATGTCTTCCCGACAAATATGCTCGGTTGCATAACGTCTTCCATATCGCTCTGCTGGAACCTTGGAAAGTCAGGGGAGACGTCCCCGAAACTTTGCCAATGCCAGACCTAGACGATGATGAAGAATGGGAGGTGGAACAAGTACTGGATAGCCTATATCACCACAAAGAACAGTTCTACTTGGTCAAATGGCAAGGGTGGCCCTCAGAATACAACCAATGGCTACCCGCAAACAACTTGGCGAATGCTCAGCAAAAGATTCATCAGTTTGAAAAACGAACCGCAGTATCACGAGGCTCAAAACCGGTGCACAGGCAAAACAATAACAAAACGCCCCCGACACGAACGCGTACACAACGGTCACTGAGATCACAACAAAGCAGACACGGTGGAGTCGCGTAACGCGTCAGTATTGTTTACGTCTACGAGTTTAGACTCAGTAGTTACGAAAACATCAAACCCGGACTGTATTCGACGGGATAAAAACAAGCGGCACCACAACGGCGCAAGGGTATCGAGACGTGCTAGAAACGCCAGTAAAACGATCCTGCTACAGACCACGAACGACGGCCACCGGAAAAGAGTCGCGGAGCTCCTGAACAAAACGCTCCTCATTCCCCTGCCCATCAGCATACAAACGCGTCACCTCCTGAATGATATCGTCCAAAAATGTCGAAATCGCGAGTTGCCAGAGTAAATAGCCCGCATCGCCAGGGAGAAGACGAAGGTACTCGAAGTCCTCGTTCGTGCGCGCAGCAAGGGTGCGACGCTCAACAACAAAACCACGATACGCGGCGGCGTGTTTCTACCGAGACATTAGCGAATTCTTGCCGGAATGGGCTAGCTACTCACCACCATTGCTTTCTTGGTCGCGGCAGAGACGTGGTGCTCGACCCTGTGGGCCTTCTCCGCGTCAGCGAACTTTGCTGCAAGCGCAGCAGTAAAGTTGCCGACAGGCACGCGAAACGCTGGATCCCAGATGCCCTCCTGCTCAGTGTCCCAAAAATACGCAGCCCAGCGCAGAATCTCCGCCAAATCGGACGCGTTTCCCAGCATTCCCGTCGCCGTCTAACCAACGATTAGTCGCGTCCAAATAGTAGAATAGAGGACCTACCGGGATGCAATTGGACTTCCGCGCGGCGCACTGCCGGCATTTCACTGAAGAGACGGCGTCGAAACAGCAGTTAGGCTCAAACTGCACACCAGACCCCGCAACGTAGTTCTTGACCGAAGTTCTGAGGCATTTCAGGCAGAACATGACGGCAGGGCGGAAAGGGGCCTCCGCCAAGGGGCGGCGAACAGGCCCCGGAGGCATTTTGATTCGTCAACGAAACTGCAGCCACCCGTTAGCGTCTTGGCAGTATCAAAACATGAATTTACACTTACTATCCCGACAGTCGAAATGAGACAGAAATCAACGCCCAACGACGCCGAAACGCGAGCAAAACGCAGACGAAGCGAAGTAGCGACGGCAAGGTCGAAGGATGGTAGAGAAGTTCGTGAGACGCGATCGTGCCGTTGTTGTTGTGTACAAAGAAACATCACGTTCCTAAAGCGGAATAGTGCCGACTCGGGAAACACTAGTCTAGACTCAGCCTAGTCCCGCGGCAGTACTGCTCTCTGCCACCGCCTATACTAAATTGGTTAGGGTAGCGGGCGAGACAGCAGTATTACACCGCCTATACGCTGCTGAGGACAGCCGCATAGGAAGGGGAGCCTAATTGTCACGGATAACTTTCGACACCCCAGCGGGCCGCCTACGAGTCCCTCACGTCTTCCCCACGTAACGGTCGTGACGTCAATGACTCCAACCCTCT